GGCGTCTATAGTGATAAACATCTGTCTGTAATCAGTGCAGTCATGCGTGATGTCACCAACTACTGAAAGTGCAGGTCACTGAAAGCAGCACAAACACAGATTTAGGCTTTTTGACCATAAATCTGTAAACAGTTTGCGCTACAGTTCCCACAAAATGACTGAGAACAGGAGATGTCACGATTTAAACACCAAATTGCGCAGTTGAGAGTGAAAAATCTGAATCAGAAATCAGAAAATGGACCCTTCATTGAAAAATAAACACGGTAAAACGTTTTCAAAGCATTAAAGAACAAACTGTACATACGGGCGCTGGCAATACGTTCGTAGCTGTTTGGCTGTATATTCTGAATCGAACGCGGTGTAAAAAAGCAGCTCTGGTTTGGCAGAGCTGTCAGATTGAAAATGTAAATGAGTTCGTATCCCTCCAGACTGTCAGGTTTCTACAGCCCTCCTGTCTTTTTAGCAGCTCCGACCGCGGACAGAAGTGAAATCACCACATGTCCTGGGCGCCTGAACTTTGCCCGCGCTTTTGATTTGGTAAACTCTACTTGTCAAATATATTTAAAGGTCCTACATTACGCAAAATGGACTCTTGTGAGCTTTAAGTCGTGTTATAAAGCTGTTACCTCCTCAAATACAGACCTGGAATTGTGTTGTGATGTCATGTGGTAGTACCGGACGTGCTCCACTGTGTTTTTAAACGCCATACACCTACATTAGTATCATCTGAATAAAGTCAGACATGGAATTGCCAATCTGTACTGAACTAAAGCGAAAATGTTGCTGTTATTTTCATGGCATCACAAGGTGGATCAAAGCATTTTGAGCTTTGGAGATACAGACAGACTAAAAATAAAGAGTTACTCAAACATGTGTGAATGGACATGTTTACATGGTGTTTTATAATTCCAAATTAATTGGTCTGAATTAAATAGTTTGGAATTCAAATAATCTCCTTCAGGTTTACATGGAAATAATAATTCTGAAATGAGGTTTACATGGAAAACACGTTAAATCATCTTTATTTAATTCCGCTCAATGTCTGGGGGTGGGGAAGGTTCTGATTGGACAGAGACACAAATGTATTTACGTCACCCGGCTTTTCTGTCATCTCGGTTTGTTGTTACGCCACGGACACAAACATGTTACAAACTTTTTCCGTTCCAATGATAACTGTGCAGCAGCTGGAGAATTCTCTCATCACACTTTACGTCTGTGAGGAGGAGAAGGGAAGAGTGTCGAAGAAGGAGGAAGAAGACCTCAGCCCACTCCCGCATCCCGCTCGCAAATCCAAAGACACGTGGATGAAAGTCCAAAGAGAGGACTGGTGGAGCCGAATCGCCTGGATTACGTCAGAAGGGCGACCCAATGAGCATTTGCTGAATGACTGGAATTATTTTTAAGAAGAATAAATGTTTACATGATCAAGGAATACATGAATTTGGCTTTAAAATCGAAATAAACCACCCATTTACTTCAGAAATATGTTTAATTCTGAACAATCATTTTCATTAGAAATTAAGTGTTTACATGGACTTTTTAAAGCAGAATACATTTGTATTCAGAATTCAAGCTCTCATGTAAACGTGGCAAATGAAACAAACACAGTTATATATAGGTATGCTTTTGAGGAGGTAACAACATTTTAAAACTAGAAAAGCACTCAGAGAGCGCAGACCTCCGCCAAGGACTACCCCCATTTTTTATATAAGTTGCGATAAAATCAGTCTTCTGGATCAGATCCGGATCAGCCTTTGGAATATGAAAGAGGATCCCATTGTCCATCCCTGAGTCAAATTTCATGGGGTTTGGTCAATAATTAACCGAGATATTGAGAAACCACATTTTTGGCCCCATTTACCACAATGTTAACTAAAATTTCAAAGTGATCCAGAATCCAGGATTTCTTCCGGATCACCCCCAAAATGAAATCAGTTCTTCCCTTTTCACATTTCCAACAAATCCTGAAAATTTCATCAAAATCGGTCCATAACTTTTTGAGTTATGTTGCTAACAGACAAAAACAACAACAAACAAACGCCGGCAAAAACATAACCTCCTTGGCGGAGGTAATAACTTAAAGCTATGACTTTTTGGTTGGGGGTCTAGTTAGTCACGTTGTCACTTTGTTAGTCACTAGTTTGTTTCCATGGATATGTCATATGTTGCTCTGTCTGGAATGTTGTACAGTAGGACATTAAACAGCTCAATCTTACATTTATACAATTGCAGGTAGTTTTATGGCTCAGAAATACTTAGAAAAACAGACATTCTTAATGTGAGCGGGGTCGCCTCTCCACAGATCTGACCTGTAACTTGATCTGGTTTGGTCTCCATGAAGATAGAAAGGTTTAATGCCATATTGTGAAACATTCCAGCCAAAGCAATAACATCTCCATGGAGAAAAGCATTTGACGAACTCACCACCAGAACAGTTACACAATCCACATTTAAAGCTCATAATAATCATTTTCGTGTAATACAGGACATTTATTGATTAGTATTGGCCTGTACTCACTAATAACGGACAATAGCAGGTTTGTTTTTCCGTGTCATATTTTTGGTGAGTGTTTTAATCTGACGCTGGGCTGAAATTGGCCCGGAAGAAGCACGACTGTGAGCAGTGTGAGTCCCAGTGACCTGGAGCAGTGCAGGTGTGGAGGAGAAATTAAAAAGCCAAGAACAATGTTAACATAAAGTAACTGTAACTGAATAAATGTAACGGAATACCCATCAAATATGTGCATTGATGAGAAAGAATGTCTGTTTTTCGAGGTGTTTTTGAGCTATAAAACCACCTGTAACTGAATAACTGTAAAGTAGAGCTGTTTACTGTCATACTGTGGAACATTCCAGGCAAAGCAACGGCGTAACCATAGAAACAAGAAAGTGAAGGACCCGCAGTAAAACAAAGTTACATGGAACAGTTGTAAGAGTTCAGTTTGCAGCCCCCTTTATCTGTGCAAAGTGTTCAGTCCTGAGTGTCATGTGATATTTACAGAGCCTCTAACATTGCATTCCTTGGCACCCCACTATCATGACCTCGCTTTCAGTGCCTTCGGACACGGCACGGTCGCTATGGAGACGGCCCTGCCAAATTCACCCAGGAGGGGGGTGAAGGGGGGGCGGCGGGGGTGTAGGAGGGGTGGAACAGCCCTACGGGGGGGCGAGACCTTGAAATACTTACACTGACTCTCACTGGTAAATATGTTTGTGTCCATTTTACAAAGAAACTCCAAACAAAACTCCCAGGCATTTTCTTTTTAATGTTGTATTGAAGAAGTGTGAGTATCTATTTAATAATACAGGCCTAAAGGTGCACTGTGTAACTTTTCTCATGTGGGGTCAGCCACCTGATTGTCTCCATGGAGATTCTTTGATTGGTAAAGTGCACGATAAGGCAACAGATTAACTCAAGTATTGTAAAACAGATCTTCTTACTGTAAGCAAGATCGCCTCTTCAGAGACCTAACCTGCTTAACTTGGACCTTATGGCATCACCCTGCCTGTCTCCATGGAGATATACAGTATACTGGAAGGCACTGTCCACACTAGTTTGTATTCGAGTCGTTTTCGTTGTGGATGCAGTGTTCGTCCACACTAATCCTACTGAAAATGGCTCCAGAGACGTAACGATCTGGTGTCTCCAGTTCCCACAAATTCATCTGAGTACGGACCTGATCCGGCACTGTGTGGACACCTGAAAACACTGATACTCTGATAAGCTGAAGTAGGCCTATGCACCGCGAAGAAATTCACCGCCAAAACACTAAGAGGCTAGAATATATGTCCAGTCATACGGTCTGTGTGTACGACCTGCAGACGTATAATCTCTGAAAAGTTTAACATGAACCATCTCCAACATGACACAGAACAGACTCACCATCAGCAGAACACCCCTCTGTCACAGAAAGAACACTGATAATCCACATCGTTTACAATAAGGTGATATGGTGATACGGTGATTCGTTTCAATGTAGCAGATGAAGTTTAATGCCATTCTGTTAAACTTTCCAGGTAAAGCACTTAAGACGCTGAACGTGATTATTACTGTCTTAAAATGTGAAAAAAAACAAAAAACAGACTAGAACTAAATCATTTGGAACAGTTTGCAGTGATTCAAACCTATCCCTCACCTTCTTAATACAATGTGTTTTTATACAGCACTTTTCCACCTTCAAGGCACTCAAAGCTCTTTACATCAAGGAACCACTCACCCATCCACACACATTCATACACCAATGTATGCAGACACCGGGGGTGAAGTGGGTTAAGTGTCTTGCCCAAGGACACAACGGCAGCATTCATCTGTGGGAGCTGGAATCACAGAGCTAACCTGTGGGTTAGTGGGTCTGACCGCTTTAGTGAGTGGAGATTCAGGAGCAGACCACTCCTCAACCTCCACCCCAGCCAACCACAGCCTATCTCAACCGCACCTTCAATTACCCAGAAGACCGATTTATACGGCCTATTCCGACAACACCATCCGTGTCTCTCGACCCCCTCCCTCCCACCCGTGTCTCTCCATCCTTCAGTCCAAAGACGTCATCTTCAAGGAAGGGGGGGATTCCGATTCAGCTGGGTGACCATATAAACCATATATACCCCCATCCTGGATCTCCCCTCAGCCATCACATCCATCAGCCCTCAGTAAGTATTGGTACAGTATTCCATTGTTGTGGTGTAGTCTTTGCTAGTGAATGATCTTTATGTCTCGAGTGGGATTCAAACTGACAACTTTTATTATATGATATTTTTGGCCTTTATAAGCTTATTTCAACTTTCAAACACCAAAGCAGAGTTCTGGCATCAACCCAAATACTAAAAACAAATAGCATGCTAACAACACACCAAACCAAAGCTACTTCATGGTTTGTGACTGATAAAACATAACAACTCAAATGCATGGATATGATATTTCATTCATCAGCCTGTTAACAAAACCATTAACAACAAACCTTCAGACGGTCTTTTTTACAGTGTATCTGTTCCGCACTGACCTTTCTGGGCGAGCTCTGCGCTCGGCTCATATTTGTCGATGAGGAGCTGCACCTGCTCGGGCTTCAGTGGGGGGTACAGGATCTCATTGAGTCGGGGGTCCCTCTGTTTACTGTTTATGAACTCCGTCATCTGCTCCACGGTGAGGTACGGCCTGCTCTTCGCTCCCCTGCACATACAATGAGATTATAGCGAGAAATGGGAGAGATTTGGTGCTTCTCGACAGGGTAATTAAACCAGTGGAGAGTTGCAGAGGGAGAGAAAGGGCTGCTGATTCAATTTTGTGCTGAGATTTGATTAAAACATATTTCATTTCTTAGAAAGTGCTGGTGAACTTCCAGATATAAGCTGTAAAAAAAAGTTAAAATAGATACTTGCAGATGATGTCATCAACATTCCCTGAGGGTGTGATGCTAACTGTGGGCATGCTCCGTCTGAGGCTTGTTAGGGTGCACTCACACTAGGACTTTAGAACTGTGCCCAAGCAAGGATCGCCTCGAAAGCACCATATGTCTGTCCAGTGTGAGCGCAATCGAACGGCATGGTTGGGACTTTGGCCCAGTTGGAGGAGGTGGACCAAAGCATGGCACGGTTGCTCATGTACATGCACACGCACGACTTTACTATACAAGCCCTGTGTGTGTGCTGATGTCACTCATACACGGACACAAAACACATGGCAAACTCGCACTTACCTTTGATAAGGACTGTGACACAAGATTAGCTGCGTCTCATCTCCAGCTGTCCTCACTACTCCACGCTGTTTTTATCTCCATAAACTCACGGAGGAGAGCGCATCATAAAAGGACACACATCAGCCTCACTATTTAATAGATATTTCTGCCGCTGAACTTTTTTTCTCTGCTAAAAGCAAGAGCACATGTAAACAGACCAGGCTGTGTGATGACGTATCAGCCGTGGCCCAGTTCAGAAGTGCAAATGTGAGTGTGGGCCATAGAAACCTACACAATTATGCTTGAGCATGGTACGGTCCTAAAGTCCTTGTGTGAGTGCACCCTTAGAGTTGAATCTGACTTCAAGATTATATAACACAATCTGACCAAAAAGAACAGACTTAGTTGGAACTAGAACAGGTGGTCTGGTTTTTTACAGTTCAAAATAACAATAACATCACAATCACACGACAGCGAGCATTAGCCAACAGTTTTTCAGTGAATCACTCTCACTTTTTTGGTGAAAATCACCTAAACAGAACCATGAACGCTTGTATTGATCACAGGCTCTTGAAAAAATAAAGAATAAATAACACATTTTTTTTCTTGAGTTTCCAGATGATCTAAAAACTTATTTAACTGTTTGCTAATATGTGCATCGTGTCTCCATGGTAACTGGTGAACATTCCACCAATACACAAACATGTAGAACACCCCCAGCATGATGCCACTGCAAAGTATCAATAGCTTTACTTGAGAATAATTTTCATAATTTGAGAAGTTTTGGATTTGTTTATTAATACTAACTTATCAATATATAAGACAATGTTATGTGACTTATTCAACACTCTTCTGGTTTCAACACTTCAAAAACATTCTTAAAGGTGCACTATGTAACTTTTCTGGGATCCACTACACGCTTGTCTCCATGGTGATGTTATTGGTTTCCCCATAAATACTCCACAGTATGGCATTAACTTTTTATTTGGCATTTATTCAATTCCAGTTATTTTATATTGCATTAAAATATATAGTAGAATATATTGCAAGTGCGCTCGCTTCCCCACAGATCTGACTTGTAACTTGGCTTGGTGTCCTTACTTGTCTCGATGGAGAAAAGTACAATGGAGATGCTCTCTAGAAAAGTTACACAGCGCAGCTTTAAATCAGTCAAAAATATATTCTAAAAATTTCAAATGAAAAAATACTAAAGTCCAAATGACACAAATCAATTATGAATATTCTAAATTCATCTCATGTTCCTAAATCCACACGCTGTTTGGTTTTGCAGTGTGGTGCTGGGCGGGTGCCATCTCACTTAGCTGTGATTAAAATCTAGATTTATGACACAGAGTCGCCGTGGTGACAGAGGCCTGCTCCACAGTTGATGGTTTAAATCTCTCGGGGCCAAAGAGCACTTCTGCCTCATAATAGTGGCTTTCAGATGACATCATTGCATTATACAGGCCCGCCGCGTTTAATGGAGAAAATCATTATTGTAGAAATGTGTTTTTTTTTTTTTGCTGTTTTGTGATTGAATATGGATAAATATTACTCTTGTCATTCATCAAATATTACCAGTGGTGGAACATAATGAAGTACTTAATAGGGATGGGACAAGATATCATGTCACAAAATCTCATGAAACAAAATTGCTCCAAGATCGCGCAAACATGAGAAAAAATTACCGTTGAAAGATTTTATTTACAAGTATTTACATTTAGATTGGACGAAAAAGAGTTATGACTTGGTGAGTTACATCTCTTGCAGCTCAAAAAGCAGTACTAGAATGAAAATAAAAATATGAAATCAAGTAAATATAAAAAAGTGAGGTCCAAACTGGAAACTGAATCATGAAATGTATTATATATTAAATGAGGAATTATGTTAAAATCTCATCTTGGCTCATTCTCGTGGACCCAATCTTGTTTCTTGTTTTGTGCAACTTGTGTCTTGTCCTATTCTTAGTACTTAAGTATAAATTTTAGGTATCTGTACTTTACTTTAGTACATTTTAAGTTGATACTAGGCCTGCTTTAAAGGTACAGTATGGGTCTGGTCAAGTGGTAACGGAGGGAAACAGGGGCAGATTTTTGACATTCAAATGTCTCTTATTCAGAAACTAGAGGGACTATTGAAATAAGTAAAGTATCAGAATGTAGGAAAGAGTTACACTCCAACAGGGTCAAGTTAAACCTGTGATATTCTTTCAAGTTGTTGACAAAATATTTAAAAACTCATGTCGATAACGGAGGGAATGAAATATGCAGCACTTTTTGGGCAATAAATCCAAACAGTGATAACTCTTGGTTCTCACTTCCATATCCTTAACAAACTGGTTTGAATATTTGCTTCATATAGTTTTCTACCATATGGTACAAGATTAGGTTGAAAAACCTCTTACTTTTTGAGTAATGAGATTTTTTTATTAAAAAAGGTCATGGTAACGGAGGAAAAGTAACGGAGGGAAAATTGTGCAAACAAGTAGAAGGTGCAGGATTTTACATCATTTTGTTGCTTTTTTCTTCCGAAAACTTTAATATTACTTCAAAATGAAAGGAAACTATTTCTATAAAATATGTCAGTCCTTCCAAGCAAATTTTTATCATTTTAAAAACATAAAAAAAAAAATCCTGTACCTTCATCAACAGTTCAAAGATGGAATAACACAAGATATGATGAAATACATCCATTTATTTACATGATTTTTGGGTCTTTGAAATTTGGGAAATAATTTTTGTTCCATGTTTCATACATGGTCTGTTTAAAACATATGGAACTTTAGAACCAAAAATGGTACAGAAAAAAGGTCAACAGTTTCATAAACTAGAGTACATATGTATCTGTTGAATACATTTTTATATCAGATGCATTAACTTGAATTTTTGGCCTTGTTGTTTACTTCTGCTTGACCGGGCCCAGTATGTAACTTTTTGCTTTGCCTGCATGTTACTACTACTGCTACTTATTTAGAATTTATTATTACTATTAGTTATATTTTGCTTTTTTTTTTTTTTTTTTTTTTTTTTAATAATATATTGCCCAAGTCATTTCTCTTGTGGATCAATAAAGTTTCAGGTCAGATCTGTGGAGAGGCACCCTGCTCACAGTAAGAAAGCATATTTTTTAAGCTCTTATTCAACTATTAAAACATCTGTAATTGAATAAACGCAAAATAGACAATAAAGTAAAAAAAACATTCAAGGTAAAGTAATAACATCTCCATGGAGACAAAGAGATGCAAAGACTGTACCCTTTACTAGAATTGTACTTTTAATACATTTGTGAAGATCAACGATTCTTTTATATGTTGTGTCCATTTATAAAAGTCCAATGATTTCTCTATTTAAAATGATATAATGATACAGGAATACTGCCTCTACCCTGATTTGAGAAGAGGACAAATCATGTAAAACAAAAATCAAGCAAATGACACCACTTTAATTGAGTGTTACTGAAGAGTGTTAATGAAGTGTTTACAAAGACGACCATAAAACCTTAAAGTGGGGCTCTAAACTTTAACTACTTCACTATTATCCAGGCTGTATTCACACTTCACAAACTAAACCACCACTAAACCAGCACTAAACCAGGGCTAGACCTGGACTAAACCAGGACTTCTCGACATGCCCACACTTTGAACTTTGGTCTAGAAACTTAAGATTTTTAGCTTGTTTTGTTTCACAGTGTCAAAAATGTTTCTTGTAAATTGTGTTCATGGTTTTGTCTGTACGTCTTCCAATGTGGGTGAACTACAAATGGCAAATATATCAAAATAAACTAACTAAACCAAGTCTACACGAGCACCAAACTAGAGCAGAGACATCATGCTGAAGGTGTACACCATGGAAGTGTATGGTAGAATGTGCAGCAGTTAAGATGAACACATAAGTAAAAACTGATTGAAAACTGAAAACTACAATAAACTACAAAATGGATTGAAACTTTTTTTTTTTTTTTTTAGATTTTCAGGTGATCAATACAATAATTCATCATAGTTGTGTTCAGGAGTTAGATTTTCAACAAAAAGGTGAGAGTGACTAACTGAAAAACACTTTGAGAGACTTTTAACTGTAAAAATCAGCTCTTTCTGGACAGATTGTGTTAAAATATAGCTCAGATTAAAGTTTTACAAAGCCTCAGACAGAGCAGTGCCTCTAGTTAAGTAAGTGTCATTAGAGAGGCCTATGGAATTGAGCTGTATTCTTACACATCAGAGAAGATGTGGTCCAGTTCTGATCGAGGGCAGATGTTACTGAGGAACTGTGTGTAGACCTCTGGAGTGAAGTCCTCTTGTGGAATAGAGTCGCTCTGAAAAACACAAAAAAATACAGTGAATTCAACAACAGAATATGAATTTAAAGAACACACACTGTGCTTGTATCTGCCCTACAGTCATAATCTATGACATCTTGGTGTTATTTGCACATATACACAATACTCATCTAAAATGACTTAAGGGCTATAAGGTGCACTTAAAATCCTTAATTTTTTTTCAAAAATCAACTGTGCGCCTAATAATCCGGTGCACCTTATGTATTAATTCTGGTTGTGCTTTCTAACCTCAAACCGATTTTATGTGGTACACGGTGCTCAAAAATCTGTCATAATTGCTGGTTTTAAGTTTCGTTTCTGTAAAACGTAAACAAATGTGCACAAAGCTGCATTAAACACATTATTACTCAATGTTTGTTTCTGGTGAACCTTATGTATGAAAATAGACAAGAGAATTCAACATTACTGATATTGCGCTTTATAATCTGGTGCACGTTACAGTGCAAAAAATATGGTAAACAAGTTTGCTGATTTCCACACAATGGGAGGAGACGCTGCTGTAACTATCATCACAACAAAGAGCTCTGAAGTTGTCAGCACCTCTCATGAATAGCTGCACATCACACTAGCAAATAGCAGATTTTTTTCCATTTGTACCAAAATGACAACGCAACTCTGCTGAATCCTATGTGTACCACTGATTAAGAAAACAAAGCTGGAGAATGAAGTAAGTACAGAGCAGTGGCCGTGTATTGCAGCAGTGGAAATAAGTTTGAAAATAAGTGATTAACGATTACTCAAATACGCACGAATCACTCCAAAAACAACTTCGAGAGGGTAAATGAGAAGTAGAAACAACTATAACAGCTGTGGCTACAGAAGGAGAGAGGCAAAGTTGTCCATTTTACATAATTCCATATAAATCCAAGAAATATATATTTTTTTTATTATTACTTAAAAAAAATTAAATACAATTAAAAAAAAATTATAGAACATTGCTAATTGATTTTTTTTTTTTTTTTTTTTTTTTAAGACCTCAGACAAAAAAAAACAAAACAATAAAACACAATGCAATAGTAAATGTCAAACAACACAGGACACATGTATGACAATAACAAGTTAAGAGTTAAGGTTCTGCTACACATATACATTACGTACATGATGTTTTTAAATGTTCTATGGACTCCCTGGATTCTGAAATAAAGCGTCATTGATTAGTCCTTAAAGATACAAATGTCTAATCAAATCTGCCCGTTTCAGAACCATTGATTTTTTAAGCGTAAAACCAGAGCTTATTCACAGATAACAACAACAGAACCATCTAGAAAAGCTTCCGTGTTTCTTTCGGGTGACTTTACAGCCTCGGGGATATTGACTGACTGTGACCTTTGACCCTCTTCCCACCCGGGCACCCACACACTCATTAACATGCGGCTAATGAGCATACAGATAACCTCCAACAACGAGATAGAGAGATCCGCGGGTTATCACGGGAGAACAGGTAAGAGCAGAATACACGAGCGCTGGAGCGTGCTAACAAGGAAAGGCGCTGTGTTCACATGATGTCAAAGGGACCATGGACCAGACCTGAGCATAGAACAGCTCCACGGCACTTTGGACGACTCTGACCGGCCCGTTTAAACTCATTTGGAATTACAAAATAAACATGTTTTATCATTTGACCTCATGCATGGACCTTAGTTGCACTGCTTTTATTTTAGAGGTGTTTTTTTAATGACTTTTTTGCAAACCAACATCACTTTTTCATTGCTTTTAAGAGACAGTCCAGAATTTTGGACATTTCCTCGTGAGCCAGAGTGTTGGAGATGTGTGGAGACACTTTCTGAAATATTCCATCCAGTCCTTGTATTTGCAGAGGTCGCTGGTGCTAGGCTAGTGCATGTCAATGGCCATAGTTAGCCTGCCACTAAAAACAGTCTTACCCACTCCACAAAACACCTGAAACAAATCTATTATTACACCAGACTGTCCATGTGATGACTGTATTGTTAAAATATTTTTAGATGTAAAACCAGCAGTGAGTCGTACTTCCTGATAGAAAGCTTGGCAGAGGCGGATATCACCTAGCACCTATCTCCTCGGTAAAGTAAAATTCCGCTGCTGCTGAGAAAATAGTCCCTCAACATGTGACGATTCATGCGATGCAAGGTTTTTATTTCAAACATTATTCTATCGACACAGACATTTACATGGACAGTCTGGAGTAATAATAGTTTTGTTTCAGGTGTTTTGTGGAGTGGGTAAGACTGTTTTTTAGTGGCAGGAGAACTATGGCCATTGACATGCACTAGTCTAGCACCAGCGACATCTGCAAATACAAGGGCTGGATGGAATATTTCAAAAAGTGTCTCCACACGTCTCCAACACACTGGATCACTAGGAAATGAGGTCCTATGTCCAAAATTCCAGACTGTCCCTTTAGTCATAACATAAACAGTCTAACCAGCTCATCAAAATGATGCTATTTACTACTTTTAATGAAGAAATACAATGAATATTATGCAGAACTGAGTTAAGCACTTTAGCCTGGTCCTCCACAATATTTTCTGTTTCTCATGTGGCCCCATGGAAAAAAATAATCATCCATGCCTACTACAGACTGTGTAAAGAAGTGGACAAAGGGAGTGTAATGTCACCCACATTGTTCAGCTCCAGTCAAATGAAGCTCATCAAGGCTTGCAGTTATAGGAGGATGTTAGGGATAGGAATTTATTTATGGACAAAATAGCAAAATAAAAAACACCAAGATCATGTACAGCGGGTTAATACGAACATTTTAAGATCAAAATGACGAGGCTCACAGCAGCAGTTACAGAGAGAGGGGGGACAGTTTATGGACCAGACTTGAGATAAGGGCAGAGGGCAGAGGAGGATTTCAATCCACAGGTTTATGAGGAATATCTCAGTAATTCAGGGGTCTCCCACCTGTAGCTCAGGAGCTACCAGCAGCTCTCCAGCCCCTTTCAAGTAGCTCGCCAAAGGATTTCTAAATTACACGTATTGTCCTGAATAATTCAAATTTGATGAATGAAATGCCTACTACCCATTATTATTTTAAAATTGTTTTGATGTCTGACTTTGTGCAGTCATAAATAAATAATGTTTTATGTTTTATCTAACTGTACCCCATTTAAATCTTGCCATGGCTCTTATATACACTTTATTTCCTGAGACCGCTGAAATGAGTAGCTCTCTGGAATGTTCATTTTGTAAAGGGAGCTCACCTGAGGATAAAGGTGGGAGACCCCTGATGTAATTAGTGGGCCTATCCACATGAAACATGCACAAAGTCTTCTCAGTACAAATGAACTAGGGCGAAATTATTCATTATCGGTGGGTTTCAGGATAATGAAACATTAGGACCACTGCCATAGTGATTAACAACTTACAGTAAAAGTATCTTTTCAAATGAAAAAGGCCTCAAAATGGAAGAAAAACCCACGGGTACAGATGAAACATTGTGTTAAAGGTCCTACATTACACAAAATGGACTCTTGTGAGCTTTAAGTCATGTTATAATGTTGTTACCTCCTCAAAAACAGATGTATGTTATTAAGTTCGATTGTCAGACCAAGAGTTTGTTTTCATAGCTGACAGTTTGGACTGATCATTAACGGTCTTCATCAGATCATCGTCACTGGATGAAAGAGGCAATCGAAATACAGAAACGTGCCCACTGGACTACCGGACTATAAATGAGGCTTTTTTACTCTCACACACCTGGGATTCTGTCCTGAGGAAACAGGACTGCAGCTGGTAGGAAGACAGCGCCAAAATCTGTATAAATCAGCTGATCGGACACCTCACAGCAACATCATGTGACCACCCTGAGGAAGAGCGCTAGTGAACAGTCCAAACTGTCAGGTATGAAAACAAACTCTTGGTCTAAAAAACTAAACTAAAAGAACCTAATAACGAGGGAGGTAACAATAACTGAAATATCCTGATATCGTATCGTCAGAATGCTCAAAGTAATATCATGGTCCATCAAAATATATCGGATAGCAAGGTTTTTCACTTAAAAGTATTAAAAAAAAAGGGAACAGCATAGGTCATGATTCTTTACTTACTTTACTACATAATAAAATAACTGTTATGAAGCACTTCTAAATCTTATTTCTTTGGAATATGGCAGTAATGATTCACACTGAAGACTGGTCATGGTATTTATGTACAATTCTGTTAATCCCTCCAAAATGTCACAGTAATTATCGTACTGTGAGAGGTATATTGTGATAATATTGTACCATGAGATTTGGATATCATTACATCCCTAGTAACAACATAATTGAATTATTGAAAGACCAAATGAACTTCACTGAACTATACCAGGAGTTGTGTTTTATTTCATTCACATGTGTTTGAGTAATTCTTTATTATTAGTCTACATCTCCAAAACACAAAATGCTCTGTTCCACCTTGTGAGGTCATGTAGTGGTAGTTTCCTTTTGTTTGGTAGAGACTCCAGAGCTAGAATTACACAAATGATTCTAGTGAAGGTATATGGAGTTTAAATACACAGTGGAGCACTTCCTGTATTACCACACAGTGTTGGGAGTAACGCGTTACAATAGTAACGAGTTACTGTAATGCGTTACTTTTTGCTGTAAAGCAGTAATATTACGGCATTACAGGAATAAAAATGGTCATATTTTACTGGGTACAAATGTCATTAGTGCGCGCTACAATGCAGTTTTAACCTTTGAAGTGGTGGTTTGTTTGTTTTTTCATTTTTCTTCATACAAATTTGCAAAAACCATCCTGATATCAGCATCAGTGAAACACCATCTTTATGGTTCTGAATGTTGGGATGGGCCCTTAGGTGCGCCCGAGTAGACCGTCGGGTAAGAGCTCTGTACTGCACGGAACTAAACATAGCTGATACCTGATCACACTTTGCGGACACCCTGCTCCACAGGCTCGGGTTTAGTCTCAGGGTTTAGTCCTGATTTAGACCTGGTTTAGACCTGGTTCAGTCCTGGTTTAGACCTGGTTTATTCCTGGTTTAGACCTGG